TTTTGGCAATCTATAATATATTCAGCATTCTTCACCAAAACAACAACAACAACAAAAAAAAAAAAAGAAAAAAGACTAAAAAAGATTTTGATTCTTCTTTATTTTTTCTAATTTACTGTATACTTTTCACATACATACAAAACAATTGAAATATTAAGGCTTGGGTGAGGCACAACTTAAAACTGACATCCTAGCTCTTTTTACAATTTCAGAGAGACCTTTGACAGTAGATCTGAAGAATGTAGTAGGTCTTCTGATTTCTTGACTGCTGCTACTATGGGGGTTAACTGTGAACCCAAATAACATTAAAAACTTCAATCTTTTCTCCAATAATCACAGCTCACGAGACCGTAAGTTGTAAGGATTTTTCTTTTCTTGACCTTGTAATGTAATCCATACAAAGGTAGAGTTTGGTGTTCCTCAGCATATGCTTCAAGGCTTCTTCACTTTTTACAAGCAAAGCTGTGTTGTTAACATAACTTAGGCTGTTGAGTCTTCTTCCAATTCTGATGCCACATTCTTCTTCACATAGTTTGAGTTTCCCCAAATTACTAGAGTGAAATCAGCCTATTTCTAAACAATTGTAGGAAATGCAAAAGGGCATGAAGAATGTATTCTACTGAAGGCTTCCAGATGAAAAAGCACAAGAAAAGTAAACAAAACATTCTTAAATTACCCTCCTCCTAGTCAGGCTGGAGGGCTCCGGCCTAGTTTACAGCACTGCAATAAGTAAGGATCATGTTTTATAGCAACATGGCAAGAGTTTCTCAAACAATACCTCATATGTTGTTCTATAGCACAGCCCCAATTTTTAGACTGTGAGAGTACAACAAAGAAAATTCAAGCTCATGCCAGGAGACACATGGTAATGATCAATGTCAGCTAAAAACATTTGGACCTAGCAAAAAACTAAATTCCAAGGTGCAGGGAAGTAGTATTGAATTGTTAGCAGTTTAGGTTTGCTGGTTGTATCCAAATGTTCTTGGGTGCTTCTTCCCAGAAAGGAAAAGAATGAGGAGTCAAGCTGATCAGAGATCTTAGAACAATGATCTCACCTCCTTTCTTAAACTGTTCATTTCCCTCCTCCTTTAGTCTTGTGCTCTCTTTTCTTCTTTTCTGAAAGAGATCAGAGAATTATAACATGTCTCAAAATGTAAGTAAACAACAAAAAAGGATTGTTTTACTTATACATAGAACTATTAATTGACAGTAGTTTGATTTTTGAGAGAATCAGATAAATCTTAAACTTGAACTCATTGTCATGGAACTGGAATTGATTCTTAATTGACCCTCCAGAGGGTTTTCAGAGGCAGTAAATCACTCAGGAGTAGACTGCTAATCTTTCATATGGAACAAGGTTGCCCAGCTTTGTCTCAAGAAGCAGTTGGTAGATTTGAACATCTGTTATTGGGTTAGCAGCAACCCATCTAAAACAGATATACAGAACAACACACAGTATAGCACAAAGGGAAGTGCTGCACTTCTCTGGCAGTTCAAATCAACCAAATGCTCCTTGAGACAAAGGTGGGCAACCTTGTTCCATATGATTTACACCCTCAGAATACCTACTGGAGGGTTAGCCATAAGTTGGTTCCAACTCAGTGAGAGTGAGTTTGCTGCTTGCTTCCACCTTTTCATAACGCTCCTCAAGAGAAAGTTTCCAAATGTCTTTCTTCATTCTTGAAACTTCTCACTAAATAAAAACTTCAGTGGGAAGAAATACATTTAGCAGGGTATATTTCTGTGGCCTAAGCAACTTATACTCTTTTTTTTTTAAGAGTAAAAAGGTTTTTTAAAAATTACTTTTAATGAAAGCTTACAGAGACTGACGGTTTCCAGTCATTCACTGCTGCTCTTTTCTCCCTGCCCACCCCCTCTGCCCCACAACTTACACTCTTATTAAAGTTTGGGATCAGAATAAAACATGTCTCTGGAGAATTTGTAAATACGCTACTGACGTAAATTGTGTACTTTCCAACTGTCTTATTAGTAGCTTACTGATAAGTAATTGTACTGCCAACACAAAGATATGCAGTTCTAATCTACTAGCTGCTCCAAGGGAGAAATATGAGTAATCTTCTCCTGTGCAATTTATTGCCTCTGAAAATTTGCTGGAGGGTCAGCTATGAGTTGGTTCTGACTCAAAAGTACACAATAACACGGGTAAAATAGATCACTTGAAAAATGGCAATTTTTTTAAAAAAAACCTACAAAAGGCGGTTATACAAGTTGAATCAATTTTATTTTTTTATAGTGGTATTACAGGGCTATAGAAGCCCTAGTGGTATAGTGTGTAAGACTGAACTTCTAACCAAAAGGTTAGTTAATGCACTGACAACTACAGCCAAGGAGAAGGAAATAGAAGATTTCTACCAACTTTTTACAGTCAGAAATCGATTGAACATGCAATCAAGATGCACTGATAATAATGGATGACCAGAATCTGAAAGTTGGGAACAGGGAAGAAGGATCAGCACTGGAAAACACAGACTTGCTGAGAGAAATGAAGCTAAAGACAGAATGATACAATTCTGCACATCAATGACTTATTCACTGCAAACACCTTTTATAAGAAATACAAATGCAGGCTATACACATGGATTTCACCTGATGGTATGCATAAGAATCAGATTACATTTGTGGAAAGAATCGTTGGAGAAGCTCAATATCAGCTGTGAAAACGGGCCAGGCGCTGATTGTGGAACAGATCACCACTCACATGCAAGTTCAAGCTAAAGTTGAAGAAAATAAAATCCATGGGAATCAAAATATGACCTAAGTCTATCCCACTCGAATTTTAAAACTATCTCAGGAACAGGTATGAGGCCTTGAACACCAATGAATGAAGACCAGATGAGCTGTGGAAGATATCAAGAATATCGTCCACGAAGAACACAAAAGATCATTACAAAGGCTGAAGAAGGAGAAAAGACCAAGATGGACTGAATATTGCATTAGAGCGCCAAGAAGCCAAAGCTAAAGGAAGAAATCAAGAAATTAAAGAGCTGAGCAGAAAATTTCAAAGGGCAGCTCGGGATGACAAAGCAAGATACTATAATGAAATGTGCAAAGAGCAGGAGTCAGAAAATCAAAAGGGCTGAACTCGTTAAGCTTTTCTTAAGCTGAGCAATTGAAAAACAAATTCAAGCCACGAGTGCTTTGGGCAGAATGTTAAATGATCCAAGAAGCATTAAAATATTATTGCATCTGGTCACTGTTGTACAACGGAACTGACATCAGGGTTGAGGGAAGACAGAAAAGGAGGGGAGGAATGACGCATATTGCACTAAAACAGATGAGGGAAAGAACAGTTTAAAAGGGACATATGAATGGGTATTCTTGTGATTACCAAAGTCCAGAGTGAAGGCTGCATACTGGAGTGAACTTGAGAGGGAAAGACTGCATAACAATGAAAGAGTTTTTCTTTTACTTTTCAAGGAGAAGAGTGAACTGGGGGGGGCGGGTAGGAAGAAAAGTGCAACAATGAATGACTGGAAACCCTAAGTCTCTGTAAACCTTCATTAAAATCTATTTTAAAAAAAATAGAAGATAGAAGGAGTATATATATATATATATAGTCACTGTACCAGAAGGAATTGGCTGACACAGATGAATTTCATGAAATAATGGATGCGTAAGAGTCTATGGTGAGGAAGGAAGAAGTTATAGCTGCTCTCAAAGAACTGGGAAAAAGGCTCCAGGAGTTGAACGCATACCAACTGACAAAATTCAACAAAGAGATGCTGCCCTGGATGTGTCCACTAAGCTGTGCCAAGAAATCTGGAGGACAACCACCTGGCCAACTGAGTGGAAGAGATTGATATTTGTTCCCATTCCAAAGAAAGGTGACCCAACAGAGTGTGAAAATTATCAAACAATATAATTAATATCACATGCAAGCAAGATTCTGCTGAAAATTATCCAAAAACGACTGGAGCAACACATCAACAGAGAACTACCAGATGTGCAGGCTGGATTTAGAACAGGTCATGGTACTAGGGATATTATAGCTAATGTTAGATGCATCTTGGCAGAAAGCAGAGAATACTAGAGGAATGTCTATCTGTGCTTCATTGACTATGCAAAGGCTTAGACTAAGTCAGGCTGGAGACTAAGGTGCATCTGATCCGGGCAATTGCGTGCTATGCATCAGAGAGTTGGACAGTGACTAGGGATAACAGAAGAAAAATTGATGTCTTTGAGCTGTGGTGCTGGAGAAGAGTGCTGAATATACCACAGACTGCTAGGAGAACAAACAAATTTGTCCTGGAGACGATGAAACTGGACTGCTCCTTGGAGGCAAGGATTCTGAATCTTCATCTGACATATTTTGGGCATGTTGCAAGGGGGGACCAGCCCTTAGAGAGGGACATCACGTTTGGGAGGGTGGAGGGACAGAGCAAGAGAGGAAGACCCTCGATGAAATGGATCGAGTCAGTGACTGGGGTAATGGGAGTAGGTGTGTCAGAGACAGTGAGGTTGGCACAGGATAGAGCAGGGTTTGGGGCTCTTGTACATAGTCATTATGAATCGCAAGCAACTCAACGGCACATAACAACAATAATATACCTGAAAGTTGGAGAATGAATTAGGATAACAGAAGAATTCACGTCTTTGCGTAGTGCTGGAAAAAGTACTGGATATCCCATGGACTGCTGAAAGAAGAAACAAGTCTGTCTTGAATACGTACAGCCTTACGTGCTCAGATGCAAGGATGGTGAAAATTAGTCTTATATACTTTGGGTACGTAGGTGCTTGGAAAAGAACATCATGTTGGGAAATGTAGAGGGTCAGAGGAAAAAAAGGAAGATCCCCAACAAGATGGATTGACCCAGTGACTGTAATAATGGGCTCAAGAATGTCAGAGATTGGGGGAGGGGGTGGGCAGGCAGAAAAGTGTAACAGTGAATGACTGGAAATCCTAAGTCTCTGTAAACTTTCATTAAAATGAATAAATTTTAAAAAAGAATATCAGAGATTGTGAGGATGGCACAGGACAGGGCAAGATTCTGATCTGACATCCACAGGGTCACTATGAGCTTAGACTTGATGACACCTAACAATAACATGGGTGATCAATCTCCCATGTAGTTGACAGCCTCTGAAAGCCTAGTGGAGAGTCAACTATAAGTCAGTTCCAACTTAACACCTCAATGAACTGAGCTGATATGACTTACAAAAAGAAGTTGCAATTAATCCCTTTTAACATATCTTAGAAAGGGCTATTCTGAAAGAAGTAGAAAAAAACAGGAGAGGAGGGGATTAATGTATAACAAGTTGGCTTAGAACTGAGCTGCCAAAGCAAAGATATGTGGTTCAAATCCAGTAGATGCTCCACAAGAGACAGCCCATGCGATTTACTGCCTCGGAAAATATGCTGAAGGGTCGGATATGGGTCAGTTCTGACTTGATGGCACTCAACAACAATAACCTAGGAGGAATATGAACTTAGTTGCATTTTAGCTGAAGTGACTGGTTGCTAAATAAAGCTACTCCATGGGAAAAAGATATAGCAGTCTGCTTCCAAAAAGGCTACCTTGGAAATCCTCTTGGACCTATATATCCTATAGCATCAATGTGAGTTAGAATAGATTCAAAGGCTTCTGTACATTTTACTGCCTTAGAAAATCTAGGGGGTAGTTCTACTCTATCCTAAAGTGTTCTTATGAGCTGAAAGAAATGAGTTTGCAGTTCGAATCCACCAGATGCTCTGCCAGGAAAGGAGGGACAATCTCCTCCTGTACCAGTCAAATCTGATTTGACAGTACACGCATATAAAAAAATAATAAAATAAAAAAAAAATGAGTTTGATTTAGTTTTACCTAGGAAGTTGGCTTATTATGCTGTCCAACTTAAATTCCAACCACTTCTTATCCTTTGCTTTCTTTGATCCCCATTCAAAGCCTTGGTTAAATGTATGCAATGAATCAACCCTAAATTATATACTTTGGTTGACAAGGAAAGAAGTGAGAGATGTGGAATACTGCAACTCAACCAGACTAACACTTTGTTGAATTTTTCCAAAATGGTGAGAGAAATTAGTGGCTGGGTAACCAAGAAAACTCTGTAACAAATTTAGCTTATTTAAAAATCAGGTATGCCTTAGAGAAAGGTAG